TATATTATATACATTTTTAATAATATTATATTATATTTAAGAATAAGTTCTTCAATATTCAAATTCTTATTTAGAAAAAAGATTGGAGAACTTTCTTAAGCAGAAAGTATAACATAATGCAGCTACAAAGAACGGATGTATAAAGATCCGTGGGCAAATCGCGAAGAATAGTGAAGAAGAAGCGATCGTGTGAAACGGACCGCGCGTCTGACAGCGCTCGTGTCAACATCGCGAGCCGACTGAGTTTGCCAGGTTTGCCTTTGTTTCCATCGCCGCACAACAGCCGCCTGGATATCTTCCAATATCCTTACCTTCCTCCAGTGTTTACGGTGTTTACGCTCGCAGTGAACAATTAAACGATGTCCTTCGCAATCGCGAGCCACGCGTTCCACGGAAATGTTTGTTTTGCTCGACTCGTCGGCTGTTGAGACCGGTCGCAACCGTTGTCCATCAACTTAACCTCTACACCGCGAAAATTAACCTGGAACGCTGTGAATCCGCTGATTTCGCTCCGCGAGTCGTAGTCGTGGACTTCATCCAACTGCTCGTCCCGAATTGAATCGATTAGAGAAGCCTTCAAACTTCCTTCTTCTGGGTTATCAGGAGATTGTCCAGGTAAAGATCTTGATATACAATAAGCGACCCAGTAAGATTGGAAAAATTACTTTGTAAGTTACTTTTTAGGTTATCTTATATGCGTTTGTTATAGAAATGGAGGGTATTACAAAATTGGAGCAAATGATAAAATATAATATAAAAATAGAATACCCGAACTTATTGTTCTCAATTTCTATAATAAAAAGTTATGACTCTTATGACTCTTATGAGTAACGTGAAAAATAACTTTCCAAATCTTGCATCTCAGTGACCAAATATGTACTTGTGTCATTTGCACAAAATTTTATTTGTTTATTTTAAATACGAGAAATTCCTGTATTCAGTCAAAGCGGATCTTAGTGCTTAAATATTTCTCTGTGTATGTGAATTTATATCTAATTCTGCAATTTCTGTGGCAAAATCTTTTTTGTGAGTGAAATTAGAGCAGTAATATCTTTTATTAAATTGACAAGCAATTAATAATTTTTGATGCTATATAATAAGTATATCTTTATAAGAATATTAATAATTAGAATTAATGAAAATCTAGGAGCAATTTTATTTATTTTATTTATTTTATTATTATTAATAATCTCAAATACTTTTTTAAATATAATATTGTAATTTAATTGAAATCTTTAAATACAATTAAATTATAATGTAATTTTTTATTATTATAATAAATTTTATCATGTCCCTTAGTCATAGGCTTTTTTGTATTTGTTAAGAGTTTGTTTAAGTTCATCTTTAGATGCTATGTAGTCAATAAAATACAAATAGAGCATCTGAAGATGCTAAATGTAAAGAAATCTTTAATATAAAGCTTATGAATATGGATGTAAGTTTCTGAATATAAGTCCGATCAGTGAAGATGTTTACTTCACTTTTGACATTTTTGCAGGGATACGTGTGGATACATGCGAGATGGCCGGCAACAACGAGCTCTGGGTGCAGTGTTTCACGTGCTGCCTGACTCCACGGCCAACGAGGAATAACAGGCGGAACAGTGGTAGGCCGCATCAGAGGCTCAGGATAGACCGAAGCATGATCGGTGTGCCCACGAATTTCAGACACACAGCACACATCAGCAGCGGCGACATCGACATGTCGATCGCTCAGCTGGCCGACCTCCAGGCGCAAATGCAGAGGAAGAGTGGTTTCGATACCGATTTCAATGCCAAGGTATGACTTGAGCCTTTTATCAATCCCAGATCCTGCTTTCTCAGACCAACACAAAGTCTAAAATCACAATACAAGACATTTTAAAGATGTTCGAAAGAAGAAATTTAGAATTGGTAGAAAAAAAATAGAATAAATTATTTGTTTGAAGCTTTGTTAATTTTATTGCGGGCAATCTCTTGTTCCCGTATGTAAAATACAAGTTTTCTTTTTTATTTCTTTGCCAGAGCTAATCAGTTGAATTGTTTTCACTTTCTGTCGCAGGCATGCTGAGGATAGCTTCGTCAATGTCGCAGCAGGATATTTAACACGATAGCGGCGGAGAAAGCTTTATTAGCGGAAGGACGACTGATGTTTTCTTTTTGATATCCATGTTCCTTACTCGTCTGATGGATGAGCGCATTTCTTCCATATGAACAAGATTGCATTTTGCAAGATGCTTAGAGAATCAAGACAAATTTATGTACATTGGACAAGTCTCTGACTTCCATTTGGAACGGAAAACTGCCAGAGTTAATCATGTTACAGCGTACAAATAATCATTTACGACTTTATACCTCTATGTTTTTGACTGGAGACGCATTGCGTCTAAAAATTTAATATTCTATAATCGTATTCTATAAATCATGTGCCTTTTTGTCGGCGATCTGACGTTCCGTGCGGAAAAAAATATGTACACAAGAACGAGGAATAGATCGTTTTATTTGTAAAATTATTTGTAAGATTTAGTAGACGTGTAATTAGAGTATAAGTAAACGTATCACATAATATCACATAATATAATTCTGTACACGTAATACTTATCCTATTGTCGAATATTGTCGCATATATTAATAATACAAGAGAGCATTAGCGATATTTATAAAACGGTGTAGTTCTTTCAGACACTTCCATTCCTTCGTTAATCGACATGATATCGACGTCACCAATTGTTCTCGGCTCGCAAATTCCTTTGTGGTATCAACTTCCTTCATCTTCTTTGTATTTTGGACACGGCAGTGTGGTCCTCCGATTCATAGATGTAATACAAATAGATCGAGCTTAAGGCACGAACGTTAAGGTCTGAACGTAGAAAGAGAATAAAGACAGGAAATAGTTTTTATTTCTTTCTAACGTGGAAAAAGGAGTAACCAAAAACCGCTGACGACAACTTCGACCAAGCTCGACAATTAATTTAATCGACCGAATTGTTTACAGCAAAATTTTAAATTCTATTCAACTGTATTCGTTGCTCTTAATATCTAATTCTTTTTTTTTGAAATAAAAAATTAGTAACAAATAAGCGAAGAAGTGAAGGCCATATTCGGTCAAAACGAATCTTGGTGCTTAATATTTTTGCGTGAATTTTCAGTTTATGCGAATTGTATACCGATTACATTAGTTTACAAAATTGCAAGAAGATATGAAGATTATTACTAATATTCTATTCTATATGAGCGATAATTTTCTATGAACCATAATCTATCATCAAAATATTTCCAGGATTTTGAGATATAAGAAAAACATATTTAATTATATATAATAAAAAAGAAAGACTTTTTCCAATAATAGTGAAGTTTGATTAAAAACAAGTTTTTTATTAGAAAACAAATCGAAAATGTTGATGGAATTTTTCTGATTCGAACTCGGCGTCCCAAAATATGTTTAAAAAAGTTAGATCTTTTTTGCAGTAAGCAACTTCAAAATTTGTAAACTAAACTAGTGTTATTTGTCGGCCTTGAAACATAGTTCTGAACTGAAACTGGAGTACGTAATATCACAAATTAAATTGACAAGCAATTATAAAAAAATATCGCCCCATAATTTTACTGTTACAGTTAACGACAACAAGCTTGATGTAATATCATCAGAGTTGATACGATAGAGTCATTTTGAGCATCCTATCTGTGAACGTGCGACGTACCGAACGTCTGCATAGACACGAATGAAATGGAAAGAGTCACTCCATTATATTTTCTCCTCGCTCGACCTAGCTTCATTGACGTGAAAAAAGCACTTGATCTACTTTATTGTGTTTGATTGACTGGCAGATTTAGTCTCAGTCCCAGTCTAGCTGTGGGATCGCCGGTAAATTTCACGTGACAACAGCAGCTCGATGGAAAGCGGAATTGATCCTTGAAGATGTTACCGTCACTTCCCACCGCTGCCAATTCTCGATAGATGTATTTCTGTTTGCAGGAGGTCTTGTAGCCCTCGGCGAAACCTTCGACCATGTTGCACTTCTGGCCTTCATTCCTACAATCAAATCATTATAAATATGTATTAAACGATTCTGTTCCCATATTACTTTTTTTTTTAAATATTAAGTGTGGGAAAAAATTCATGGCGTTTTCCCATTAGATGTAACGGGAAAAACGCCATTAACTTTTTCCTACACCTAACACATTGTTTTAGCAAGAAATGTGTAATATGACATAAATAGAAATACAATTTTTATTAAAATGGAATGGAACTACTGATTTCGCAATCGAAGAAAAGATTTTAATTGATTTTGGAATGAAGTGTCTTACCATTTTTTTTTAATATGACTAGCGAATATAATTATAAGTAGAAATGATTTAATTTCATTTGTAATTAAATCCATTTTTTCCTTTAATTTTGCAGATCAGTTTATAACTTTGCACATTTTTTAAACATTCAATTTGTGATCTAAGGAACCCATCCAGACAATATAAAGTTTAAAATCGGAACATAAGACGTCTTTGAACACTTTTCCATTTTTGGATGTTGTTTAGGAAAGGAGTTGCGTGATATCTCATTAAAAAAATTTTTGAATATAGCTGCTTTCGATTATCAGGTACTCAAATAGAATTGTTCTTACAAACAAACTTCAATGCGTATTCCTTGTTTCAAATCATCTTGATTTACGATGAACAACCATTGATTTTCCTTGTTCTGAGCGGTTTGCGGATATACTACTTGTTCCTGCGAATTTAACGATTAATGATGTTTCAAATGTTATTTACTAATTCTAATATTTATTACACAATGCAGAAGCAATCTAAGGAAACTAAAATCTTATTCAAAGAGAATAATAACAAAAAGATCAAGTTAACTCACACGAATTGGGCAAAGCACTGATTCGCGCGACATCGTGTCTATCCTCTGTTCGACGTCGTCGACGTCGGGCATCTGAAAAAGCATATATACAGTGAGTGCAAAAAGTATTCGTACAGAGAAAATATTTTTAAAAGAACTTTATTTTTAAAAAGTAAATATTATCCAGCGAGAAATGAGTCGAATTGATGTCGAATCGATGATTTCAACACCAATTCGACATCAATTTGATGTTTAATTGATCATTTCTTGCTGGGTAATTAACAATTTGTTCAAAGAATAAAATAGATTGTATGTTTCTTAAAATTATATATACCAAAAAGATGTGTATTAATTATAAAAAAATATATCATCTGAAAAATAAGGAAAATATGATTAGTAATAATAAGGAAAAATTAGGAAAAATTAAAAATTCTATTGTGAATGCTCAAAAAGTATTCATACAATCGAGAAATTTAGCTTTTAAAATCAGGAAGCTCATTTATTTAATTAGAACAGAATGTATTCATTGTATAAAATTGGTAATTAATGTTTATTTTTTACAAATAAGATTTTTTTTTATGGAAGATTTCCTTGTACGAATATTTTTTGCTCTTACTGTATGTGCATCCGATAAGATACTTCGCGGAATTTAATAAACGACGTAAATAAAATATTAAATATATTCAAGATTAAAACTGTAAGTACATTAAAATCGGCATAATTTCATCGTCAATCTTGAACGTAAAAATAATTTATACATATATGGAAAAAACAGTTTTGCTGAAATGTCTAACAATTTAGCTAGATACGGATATGAAAATAATTTTGTTTCTATTTTTATAGGATATTTAAACTAATTGCTGGAATATTAAAATTTTTTGCAGTAAATATTTATTATATCAATGTTTAAGGTAAATGTTTAAGGTAAATCAATGTTTACGGTAAATTATTAGGTGTACAACTTTGCTTCCGCCGTTTTTTTTCCGAAATTCGAGGCTTTATTGTAAAAAACTGATTATACATTTATGATTCAAAGTATTGTCCATCGCTGGCCTACTTTCTCCCATCTTTCGGGTAGCGTACGAATCCCGCGTCGAAAAAACTGGTCATCTTTTGAGGCTATCCACGAATCGATCCAATTTTTTACTTCTTCATAAGACCGGAAGTGCTGGTCAGCCAGGCCGTGTGCCATTGATCGAAACAAGTGATAGTCAGAGGGAGCAACGTCTGGAGAATACGGCGGGTGAGGTAGGACTTCCCATTTCAACGTTTCCAAGTATGTCTTGACCACTTTCGCAACATGGGGTCGAGCATTGTCATGCTGCAAAATCACTTTATCGTGTCTCTCGTTGTATTGCGGCCGTTTGTTCTTTCAATGCTCGGCTCAAACGCATCAATTGCGTTCGATACCGATCGCCTGTGATTGTTTCAGTCGGTTTTAACAGTTCATAATACACTACGCCGAGCTGGTCCCACCAAATACAGAGCATAACCTTAGACGTCAAAGTCACCGTTCTTGAAGCGTTGAAACTACTCACGACACGTTCTTTCACTAATAGCGGTCTCACCATAAGTATTTGAGAGCATTCGATGAGCCTCAGCCGCAGATTTCTTCATATTGAAGCAAAAAATTAAAACCTTCCGCAAATGAGACGAGAATTTGTTCTCCTAAACTGACATTTTCAATCGAGAATAACTTTATGATGCAGACACAAATCGACTAATGTTTCTATAGGGTTATGTTGACAGATGCCCAAGTTTATTGTATGACGTCTATGATCTATTTATTTCGACCACCACTTACCGCTAAAGCCATCTATAGGAAAACGGCGGAAGCAAAGTTGTACACCTAATATTAGTGTATGATTCAATTATTAAAAATGTCAAAAATTTTAAATATTAAGCTTTAATGATACATATGATATTCTAAATAAATTTATATAAACAAACAATTAAAGTTGTAAATATATAATTATAAGCTTAATATTAAAAATTTTTCTCATTTCATTCAATAACTGTCTAAATATATATTTACCAATTGTTCAATGATTGGTACGTTTATCTTAAGTGTTCTACATAATCCTTTTGATAATTCAATAAAATTATTTTCAGATCTGTATTTTCTATCTAATTAAATTTTTAGATACTTTAGCAAAACCATTTTTCCGTGTATAATTTGAAATAATGATTTTAATTTAGATTCTAGATCTTTCATTGTCATCATATTGCATAAAACGATAAAAATCGTAGCGTTGAAAAATACTTCAACATCACTTTCGCGTGTCTCGTGCATTGAAAGTTTATATAATACGTCAAGATTATGTCAGTTTCGCAATTCTTTATTCTGTAAAGACATACACATACGCACAGCTGGATAATTATAGCAGCTATAAAATAAATTTCATCTTGACGCAATATGATAAGTTAATGATATGATGAGCTAATAATAAAGCGATCGCTCACGCGTTCTTATGTATGAAAAACAAAATCATTTCTAACCGAATCGACAGTATCGACACTCTCCAGGAATCTCAAACTGACGTTCCGCTGTATCGCTGCGTTCACCAGTTGCCTGGGATAGTCGGCGACGTTTTCGCAGAACGTATTTTTGCGACAGCTCAACGTCGGCAGCATTGGTGTTTCCGACGTTAAGATCCTACCGTCCGGAAAAATAATTTTCTCGTCAGAATTCCTGTGCATTGACGTGCCCGTGTTCCTGTGCGATATATCTGAACTCCTGTACATCGACATATCAGTGTTTGAATCTGCAAAGGAGAAAGATATTAGCAATATTTATTATGAATATTTTTTAAAATCCTTTCACAATTGTTTCGGAATTTCTATATAAATATCAGAATTTTTCACATTTTTCCATGATTATAAATTTTATGATTATAAATTTTTAGAAAATTTTTCAGATTTTTTTATACAATACAAATTGGAATACTTTTCAGACATACTGAGAAAGCCAATATATTTTTTTAAATATCTTATATATGTAAATTTTAAACCTTAGAAAATTTCTTCTATAATTTTCAAAGAAAACTTATAAAAGATATTCTTTTTTAGAAATCTTCATAAAATCAAAAATCTCTCTTAAAGATATTAAAAGTATTTCATATGAAAAATTCTCAGTATATTTCATACTTTTAAAAATGTCACCATCAGAATGGTGACATTTTTAAAATTCTTCAGATAATTTTCTACATAAATTTCAGAAATTTTCATTTAATTTTTATATAATTTAATTTTATGATTTTTTTTAGAAAATTTCTATGTAATTTATTTCTACAAATTTTTTATACAAATTGGAACACTTTTTAGAAATGTAGAAAAAGTTTACATCTTTTTCAGAACTTTACGCGAATTCTGAGATATTCAAAATCTATTTCTCATTCTATAATTTCTGAAGAAAACTTTTATAAACCTGACTAATAAATCTAAGATATTTTTTTAAATCTTTATAAATTTAAAATATGCTTTTTTTTTTAAATATTGCACTGAAAGAAAAGATTGGCTGCTGCAGCAAATTAAGTAGTAAACTATGGCATAGCATTTTTAATTGATTGCTGTAACCAATTAAAAATGCTATGCCATATTTTACAATATTATTTAATTTGCTGCAGCAACCTTTTTTTCAGTAGTGTATAAAATATAAGAATTTTCTTCATCAGGAAATTTCTATAACACACGATATTCAGAATACATGCTATCGTTATTTCGTAAGTTCTCGTCTTACGAAGGAAACCGCAACTTTAAATAGATCGATTGTGTTTAACCACTGGCCTTGACCAAATTATAAATGATTATTAATTCATTCTGGGGAGTTATTGAAAAAGAATGTTGATCACTCGAAATCAATACTTATACAAAATAAACATGCCTTGCAGTGATTTTTTTGATCTTTGAATCACCCTATCGCTCGAAAACTTCTCTTTCGAAGTGTCTCTCTGCATCTGTTCTATCCTTTGTGAACAACAATTGTTGTCTTCATCAATGGTCTTCTGCGGCCATTCTTGCGGTCGCAGAAACACCTAAAATTATTTACAGGTTTTAAAATGCTTCTTACCATCAGATTTATGAGTATCTTTCTAACTAATTCTACCTATAAGCATCAATTATTAAATTTCTTATCAATTTTAATTTGTGATATTACTAATTCCTTTAGGACCGAGTACTAAAAGTTATAGAAAGAAAAGATTGGCTGAATATGGCATAAAATTTTTAATTGGGTTGGCTGCAGCCAATCTTTTCTTTCAATGTAATTAAATTTCGCGAGGATCCAAATTGGCTGCCTCGGTCCTTCACGGAAAAAAAACACAGCTGAAAATTTCATTGATTCAGCAAATCTACAGTCGTAATATACAGACAGTCAATTTTCTATGTTAAAATAGCAAAGTTGACAGCTGAATAACATTAGCGATTTGTTAAACCATCAAATCTTCTTATCGATGTTGAATTCGCGTAGTAAATTATAGATTTGCTGTACCACTCAATTAATTTTTTTTCCGTGTTCCATTACTAAAGCTTTCATTTCCTAATTGTTGTGTATTCACATTTCCGGTCTACTTCGTTTAATATTGTAGAAACACCTGCTGCTCGTACGCCTCTTCGATCGCTCTTGAAATCGACGTGTCCTGCAACGAGGAACTTCCGGCGTCCGGTGATTCCTCCGACACCTCTGAAGAAGAGCGAGGATATCCTTCGATCAGTCGCACCGTCTGGCACACCTGCCGAACGAAGAAGATATGAGAACAATTGGATCTCGATCCACAGGGACTTTTCCTTCTCTAAAAATAAGCCGTTTTCCGCGAAGTATGCGCGCGCGCGCGCTTGAAATTATGTAAAAAACCGTCTTGTTCTTGGATGATGAGGTCGGAATCACTGCGCGCGGCGGGAGAATAGAACGCGATAAGAGAAAGATAAATTATTTCTATACCGAGGTTGAGAGGAGGCATAAGATCCTGTTACAAGCAAATGCATGCAGCCGCGAACGAGATTATATAATGCGGTGTGATTACTCTGCGCAGGCCGCCGGTATCTGAAAGTATTTTGAGAATAAAGGATCATTTATTTCAAAATCAAGACATAAGACATCTTTAAGTTGTCTAAAAGACATCTTATGTCTCCATTTTAGACTTTATGTTGTTTGCGAAACTGCCAACTTATGTTGTAAGTAAATAATTAATCAATTTCTTATAGCTTATGGCATAAGTTAACAGTTTATGACCAGTATAAATAATCCTTAAAAGAGACTAAAGAAAAAAAGCAGATTTTAATGCTTAATAATATTTATATGTGACATTGTGTCGATAGTAGATACAGTTTGTTGAATCAATTAAAAAATCTATTTCTTTTTGAAAAAAAGAAGCTAAAAATGGCTTTATTCTTTTTTATTTATATTTAAATATTTCTTAGTCCATTTCGCTATTCATTTCGAGAATTTTAATTTCATTGACACACTGAAAAAAATTTTATTAAATATTTGTTTGAATAATAACAAATTTACTAAATGTAAACCTATATTAATTTAAGTATATTTTTTTTATTTTAACAATCTAATTATTATAATAAACTAAATACTTTTTATTTTAAATAAATGTTTATTTACTAGTAAGTAAATTTTGTTAGTATTTTCAAATAAATGTTAGATAAAAGTAATTTCAGTAATTTTTTTCAATGTGAAAATATTGATAATTTAGAATAGATATTATTTAAATAATATTAAGTTTAATTTCTACTATAAATATACTTATATTTTATTATACGATTGAGTCAGTTTAATTTTTTCTCCATTTTTATAAGAAAAATCCTATGAAAAATTCAAAACATACGCGTGAGATATTCGATTGCGGAGAACTGTCGCAATTTTACGATATATGAATAGATATTCCCCTCCTTCCCTCCTCCAGTAAATATTGCATCTTAATTTCTCCCATCAACGAAGCGGATCGCCAGGTAATCCCGCGACTTTTCCAGGTAATCCTACCTGTCATTGTTTTATTTACATTCTCGTGCATTTGTGATATATGTGTCACAATACCTTGTGACAACTTCCGAACGTGTTATTTAAATCTGTTCATTGTTGGGAAACCTTGTCAAACTAGTATAAAAGGAAAAAAACTTAAGGCAATATATATTCTAGAAAGAAAGAAAACGTAAAAGAGATAAATAAAAGTGGAATGTGGATGATCGATATTCGTAAAAAGGGGATGACGGGAAGAATTTAGGAACGAACATTCCCCTCACAGAAATCCAATGTGATACTAATTACATTCTAGAAGATAGTAAGTAATTTTTAGTGTATTTTGAATATTAAAGGAATTTAACTATTGTTAAAATAAACAATTATTAATTAATATCTACCTTCCAATAAAAGCGCTGTTGTTCAGTGCTTTAATATATTCAAAATAGATAATTAACTATGCCTTCCAGTAAAGGCACTGTTATTGCTTTACTAAAAATAAGTAATGAATCATTATCTTTCAATAAAAACAATGTTGTTCAGTATTTTTAACACATACACAAAGTAAATAATTAATTACTAATTTTCAATAAAAGCACTATTATTCAATACTTTAATACTAAAAATAATCACTTTATATTATACTTTGCAATATCAAAAGTACTGTTATTCAATGCTTTTAATATTCAAAATAATTAGTAATTAATCACTTTCAGTAAAGACACTGTTGTTCAATGCTTTTAATGCTCAAAATCTATTAATATCTATATTAAATTTCTATAGAGATCATAAAACAAAGAGTTTTTGAATAAAACAAAGAATTTTTGAAAAGTCTATATTTTCAACACAAGCCATAAGTTTTCAATACAACTTCAAAACATAATTGTTTTCATTAACATTTCATTAACACGTTGTCCGAAGGCGTCTCTCCTTTTTTGCAAGAAGAGCCAAAAAACTCGAGCGTTCCGCGATGGTATTGAGATAAAGAGAATAATAAGGACATCGAATATTAATCCTCGCAATAAAATCCTGCACTTGATATTAGTATCATATATACGCATATTCGTATTGTCGTCGATATGTTTCTGCGTCTTTCAATCGACATCACCTCCATGCGCGCATAAATCCCATAAATCAACGACAAGTGATTAACGATTTAAAAATTCGGAGAAAGATAAATATGAATAAACAAATCTAAATACACGACACGGTTGTGAAAATATTCAGCGACTGATCAAATGAAGACACATATCAATTCCAAAGATTAATAATTCTGACAACAAACATGGTAAATAAGAAATCAAATCCGATGATACAATTAATTGTTAGAAATTTTTCTGATTGAAAATAGAGGAACCAGAAAAATTTGATTATATCAATTAGAATTCTGCATTGAAAACAAATTTAATAAATTATTTATTTGAAGTTTGTGTCAATTAAATATTTATTAAATATAAAGATACATTTATTTAGTATAAAAGACATTGATTTAAGAATTATTTCTTTTTATCAGCTAAATATTTACTGGAATTTAAGAGATTTTTTTCTCAATGCGATTATCTCGACTAAAATTATACTAGATTCAACTAAAATTCTATAACGCAACCAACTAGTCCATTAATGCATTCATTACATTAATTCAATTAATTGCATTAAATTCTAATTCTAATGCAACCGATGCACAGTTCCTCACCAAAATGAGTGCCAGATAGACGGTCCACTTCAGACGAAGAGTTCTCGATGTCATCTCAAGAAGTAAAAAGACGCGGAACGTCGTGTAGAAAACGAAGACTTCCCGCGAGAGCTACGCGATACTCGACGATGATCGACGTACGGCCGCTCGTACTTTACTGATTGGAGTGATGGGTTAACGCAATTCCGATCCGAGGGACCATCTCCGTGCGGTCCGAGACAGAATCGACAGGCGGGAGAGAAAGAGAGACGGAGAAGAGGCTGATTCGCTTCCGGTGCGACGTGACTCGGGTTAGGAGAAGAGCGGGGGTGGAACTGACCGCGACTGACCGGCGGCCGTAACGCGCGGAAAAGTCAGACGCATAAGACTATATATGAGTCCGAACATTTTTTTATTTCTTCTCCCACCGTCGCGTCGGTCTCACATCTTGGGTTGGAGGGGATCGTGCCTGACGGTAGTGGGAAGATCGAAGAAGTCTAAATACGGTGCAAAATCTTAATTTTTTTTGTTTTTCTTTCTTCTTTGATTTTTTGTTTTATTCTTCTTTAAAAATGATATTTTCAATCATAGTGAATTCTATTTTTATTTCATATATGTATATATATATGGTAATTGAGAATTATATGCAAGCGAAAGAAAAATGTTATGTTAAATAAAAATAATTATCTTTCGTAATTATTACGAAATAATTATAAATCCTATTTTCATTTCAAATGAATGAACCTTTCTTAATCGGTTCTTATATTA